TAATTTTTTAATCAGCTGCTGCACAGAAAAATTGACAGAAATATAATTAAATGTACTTTTAATTTAAAGCATTCACTCGGACAGTAGTTATTACAATTCAAGCAATGTAAGTTACATGTGGAGAGCTCTCCCACATTACTCTCATTCATCTAATGCCTCTTCCTAATACAAGAGTTTGAGATCCCAATTGGATTGAGCCAGGTTTTTCTAGCTGACTCCTGGCTCCCAGATCAACTCCTGGCAGAGCAGGCACCCAATAAATGTTAATTACTATTGTTTAAAACAAGGGGAGAAGTATGGTGGGGAAAGGCCTTCTGTAAAGTGGACACTGAGACCCACTCCATTACCTCTCTCTGCACTTGGAAGTTTTCCTAGAATCTCTGCCCTTGCTTCATCCAGAGATTTGCCATTTCTAGCCCAAGATAAGAGTTAATCTATGTGTATGCTGTGCTTGCTGACTCTGATATCTCCAATTCTGCCTACAGTGTTTGCCTTCTTCGTGTCTTAGATGGATTCCCTAACACTTAACACTCAGAGGACTTGGACATAGACTGAGATCAGTCTGGGTCCAATGGCCTTTCGTTATACAGACAGACATCACTGAAGGAATAACTGACATGATCCTGTCCTAATGGTAAGACCCCACCAACTGTTCTACCTACGTTCCTTCCATTCTCACTAGATAAACATGACAGAGTACAACTACAGATTTAGGTCAGATCTGTTTTAGCACTAAAAGCTGATTCTCAGGAATGTGGGTGAAGTATGTAATACCTTCCTAAGTCACATTAAGTAGTGAAATGTGTTCACTTTACGGTAAACAACCTCCTAAGCTGTCAAACAGAGAATACTTTGTCTCAGGAGGATGACCAGGAATACATCCTAAACTCTGCTAGTTTCCACAACATAAGCAGATTACTGACCTTTACCAAAGATCACGAATACCCACTGGATGAGGAAATGTCCTGAGTGGAAGGGACATTCTTGAACCTCCTGAAGACCAGCTGGTACATTAAGGGAGGGTAACAGATCACCCGACTAACCGGCGCCACAGGCACTCTCAGCCTTATAGCTTTATTCTGACTCCTCCATGGTAGGGCTGAAATCTACACAGGACATTCCAGCTATCCTGCATGGTAGTGTGATGTCTCTGGACACACAGAAGGAACTACATGGCATCTTAAAATGCTGTATTAATCAGCTGCAGTCAAATCAGTTTCAGTAAGAACAAGGAGAGAAGTGTATTGACTTGTGTGATTGGAGAGCAGAGGGACAGAGGACATGATATTCAACATAGGTCATGAGGAGTCATGCCATCCCCATCCCCACCTCTCAGTACTGTTGTTCTTTCATGTTAGCTTCATTCTCTCTTTAAAGCACTGTAGGCATCCTTCACACAGTAGTGAAAAACAGCCATGAGTGCTGGCCTCATATCCCAGCATCGTGACACGAGGCTCAGTGGCAGAGCCAGCTGCCTGCCCAACTTTAATACAGTGACTGGCTTGGTTGGGATCACTTGCACATTACTTATATAACCATGTTTCATAATACACATAATGTATGGCCAAATCCCACCTGCTGTGATCAGAAGAGTGGAGTTCTGTTATTGATAGCCCCACCAGAGCCACACAGGGTGGAAGCAGATGGTTTCTCTCTACACAAGGATGCCGAACAGCTAAAAACAACACATGCATACATTCACTTCAAATGTCTATATCCAAGCCAAAGTTTGATAGGAAAAGCTGGAGTCACTGCCAGCATCCATCCTTTTCACTCCATCCTGGCCACACTGGTCTCCTTGCTGTTCTTCAAACAAGCCATAAACACTCCTGCCTCTGAGTCTTTGCAATTCATCTGGAATACTTCCCCCAGGTCATTGCATAGTTATTCCCTTACTTCCTTCATGTCTATGCTCAGATGTCATCTTCTCAGTGAAGATTACACTAAAATGGGGACATCCATGCACCTCTCTCCACACACACATCTCCCTACCCAGCTTTAGCTTTTTCCTAAGCATTTGTCATTATCTAACATACCCTGTATTTTATTTATCTTATTTATTGTCTCAAGACAATAGCACGAGAACAGACTTTTTTTTCTGTTTCATTTACTAACTCTTGTATCTCCAGTTCTCAGTACAGTGCTTAGACTATAATTGGCAGTCATTAAATATCTGATGAATGAACAAAAGATGGAATCAAGTAGGGGTCACCTTATCACTCTCAGTGTCAGGTAATGTACACTACGGTATTACACAGGAAGGAGTACAGAACAGTGCAGTACTTGAATACAGTCCTCATTTAACCTCTCTGGGCTACCGCAGTTTAGTGAGTATGTCCTGACCTCAGTGCTGTGGAACTAGACCAAAGGTAGGTTTTCCACATTTCTCTGGGAGGAGTGCTAAGATACCCTGAGATGAATTCAAGCCCTGTCTTTCATATCCTTGTCACGTCTGTGCAATCTGCACGACAAAGTAGCTGCTTGGTTTCCTAATCCATATTCCCTTTCCCCACTAGGATTTAAATCCTGTTCTGACTCTCATCCCTGACACCCTGCCTAGCCAGGAGGCTTGATCCTGACTGCCAATCCAAAGCCACTGGCTAGGGTACTACCTCACCAGACAGACCACCTGGAACCAAGATACTGCCCACAATCAGAATCCTGATATTGCCAGAAAAACACAGAAAGTACTATTGCAACATCTGATCCACCAGACCAGATCCTCTTCAGTATTGATTTGGCCTGATTTTCCTGGACTTTGACCATTCCCTGTGTACCCTGACTTCCACCACAGCTCCACAATGGCATTACTTCCCCTAAGCTAATTCCTCCCGTTTCCAGCTTTTTCCCTCTGACTTATAGGCCTCACAACTATGAATGTCTCATGCAGAATTACAAAATGAGTACTGTGATGTCCGTTAATCCCTGAACACCTTCAAAACCTCTGTAAGAAGTGGCAAAGGTCTTCATGTTCTGGTTTATTTCCATACCTGGGACCACAAGGTTTGCAAATGAAATGGCATATATGACAGCACTTTCAAAGTTTGGAGTTGTCTGCAAATGGGCCTGCATATATATAGAAATTTATTATGATGTAAGTAGTATTATCAACCAGTGAGGAGAAGATGGATTATTGAATAACTATTGTTATGACAATGGTTAGATAACTGCTAACTATTTGGAAAAAAATTAAGCTGAATTCCCAGCAGACTCTTTTCATTAAAACAAATTCCAGATATATTAAATATTTAACTGTAAAAAATAAACTACTGAAAGAAAAGATAGGTTAATTTGTTTATAATCTTAAAATTTTTTCTAAACATAACACAAAGCTTAGAATGCATAAAAGATTGTTCAGTTTGGCCACCTACAAATTAAAAATCTATACAGCTAAAAGTACAACTAAAAATTCAAACAGTAAATAAGTTGGGAAAAATATTTTTAAAACATGACAGATGAGAGGTCAATGTTCTTAATAAACAGTTATGATAAATCAATTTTTAAAGATGAATAACCTAATAGAAAACATGATGTTTGCCAAAAAAAATACAAGTGGTCAAACAAGATGTTAAAATATGTTTATCCTCCTTAATAATCAGGAAAATATAAACAAAACAAAATAAAATTTTTCGTCTATTAGATTGGCAAGATTATACAAAATAAAACCCCCCTACTTTTATAATGACTGTTTTGGTGCTGTAATACTTTGTTATTAGAGAGCAATTTGTTGCAGTTTCTTTAGAGGATAGTTTTTCTACAGTGATATGAAAAATAGAAGTGCACATAACTTATGCACCTATCAAGTTCTCTTTCAGAAAGTTATCCTTCCACAAGTGTGCAAAGATACATGAGTGCTCACTGTAGCATTGTTTGTAATAACAAAACCTAAGTAGTGCTCAATAGGACACTGGGGAAATAAATGGAATAATATGCCTCCATTAAAAAAATCATGTAGATCGGTATGTATTGATATAGAAAGACTTCCAAATATGTTTTTAAATTTTCAAAGGCTATAGAATAGTAATTTGAGTTAAAAGACAGACACGGTAATATACGTATTAAAAATGTCTGGATGTTTACAATAGTGTTTTCTTATGGGCGAGTGAGACTAGGGCATGGAGGAAAGTCTCAAAGCCTAATGTAAAGATCAATTTAAAAAAATTAGCTGGCCAGCAGTAGGTCAGGCTACTCTCAAAGTCCTTAGGTCCTGTTCATTAACTTTTATGTGACATTAATTCAAGAATTGTCCTGATTAGTCACAGAGACCATGAGTTAACATTGCTATGCTGTTTGCTGCTGATGTTTTAGAAGACTCATCATCTTTTAAACGGGAATATCTTTCAAATATTCATTTTATCATGATCCCTGTATCTCCCATTCTGGCACTGATTGGTTTGAATTGCTTTGAGAAGAAACTTTTGAAATAAGATGTTATCATGTAACTTTAAACTCTGGAACACCTGTGCAAACTGTTTTTGCTTTTACTCTGTAAGAAAGCTCTAAAATTTAATGGCATTTCCTGCAGCTACAGAGAAGGCCTAATGAAATATGAACAGTCTGTCCCTTGAGAACCAGGTGCTTTTTCAACTACATTTCTCACCAGCCCTTTTCATTTTCGCAAAAGTGTTTTTCCTAGTGATGTGTACATCACCATCAGTGGATCCGTGAGACAACCAGAAACTGTGAAGGGTAAATGGGCCTAAAATCCACCAGAGCGTCACACGTTATCTCCTTCACTTGAGTCTCAAGGGCCACACAGCCAGCTATGTCTTTTCACCTCTGAAAGCCGTTAAACATCTCCCCACAGCAACAGACAAGTCAAAGGCACCGCTGTTAGGGCCAGAGTGTGAAAGGCATCCGAGAGGTTTTTCCCCTGCAAACCAACACCTGCCTCCAGCACCGGCTACACAAAGAGCGGGCGGGAACCAGCGAGGCCAGCGGAGACTACAATTCCCAGCAGGCTTAGCGGGAGCGGGTTCTCGCACGTGCATCCCAGACCCTGGGAATGAGGTCCCTCTGCAGGGCTTCTGGGAAAGGAACATGGCAGCTCGCCGTCTGCGGTCTGGGCTGGGCCAGCTGTTTGCGACAAGGACTGCGCTGGGGCGCGGAAGACGAGCTTACAGCATGTCCCAGGCCTTCGCGGAGGTTCTACGGCTGCCAAGCAAGCAGCTGACGAAGCTTGTGTTCCCGCTTCAAGAACTCGAGCGGCATCTCGTCCCGGGCTCGAGACCGGACTTTCACCTTAAGACCTTCGACCCGAGCCTGGAGGATATCGCGAAGTCCGACAGCGTCTTCACGGCCACCGTCCGGAACCGCATCGAGTACCTCAGCTCCGCCGTGAGTCTCGACCACGCCCCGGACCTCCTCTGCCCTGAGGTGAGACAACCGCCTGCTGGTCGTGCAGGCTTGGACTGGGATTTGCTATCACCTATTTCTTGTCACCAAACAAGAGAGATTTTGTAGCTTTGTATGGACGCATATCATTATTGTAACTCAGTAAGCAAATATAGTTTAATTATTTAACCTCTATAGTTAGCCTCTAGTTTTATCGTCTGTAAAATGAGGACAATATTATCTACCTCATAGAGATATTGTAAAAAGCAAATAAGAATACGTATGTTAAGTGCTTAAAACAGTACCTGCCACGTTGAAATCATTTATTAGATAGTAGCTGTATGTTAGAATTTGAGGTTTGACTAACCACAATCTACGTTTTATGCTTAGGCAAGACTGAATAGTGTTAATAGGTTTTTGCAGCTAATACAACATATATCTATACACACACACACACACACACGTAAACTAGTACTCATTTATCTTCTTTTTCCTTGTATAAGGTATGTTTTATAGGCAGAAGCAATGTTGGAAAATCCTCTCTCATAAAAGCTTTATTTTCACTTGCCCCAGAGGTTGAAGTTAGAGTCTCCAAAAAACCGGTATGTTTAAGCTTGAAATGTCTAAATTGTCTCTGAATTGATTAAGATGAGTAATGAATGTTGGGAGGTACAAGAAGTCATAATTGTTGGGTTCCTAGAAAAGTGATTTCTTTCAAACAACTACTGAAGTAAAACATTTCGTCAATGCCTATGTATTTCTCCACAGAAGAGGAAGTGTGTCTGGATTTACTTTAGTCGTCTTGCCAGTATTTAAGGAAATCTTCCTTGGTCCAAATCTTTTCCAAAGAATTGTTCTGTGGTCATTCTATATTTGCTTCTATGAGAATAATCTAGTTCTACGTTGATTTTAGAGGAAACAGCTTTAAAGTGTATTTTTCTTCTCCTATAGTCTTTTGTACCTTGCAAACTCTTATACACCAATCGGGCTCTTCCCAGTTTACCCAGGGCCAGATTATGTGCCTTGTTATCCCAGCCAGTCTGCTAGAGTAGCTGTCATTTTCTCATTTCCTCGACTTCCTTCTCAGTAATGCAGACTCTACCAGAAGTCACCCCAGCTCCTCTTACCTTCTGTCCTTGGCAGAATGCTCCCCCTCACCCAATGCTTACTGCCCCCATTTTCTTAGAACCCTTTCCTGAGGCTTCACTAGTTTCTTGCTCCCCACTTCTTCATGTGGTTGATTCCCTGGCTCCATCACTGATGATTGCAGTCATTTGTTAACCCCTCCTGTCCTTACTCCCCCATGCCCTGCCTCACCAAATAATTCAGCTAAACTCTCACTTATAGTTAGGGTTGTCCCCTTCTTTTGTGAGAAGTCTGTGAAGGAAATGTGTTCTTGACATTCCTAATCTGTAATTCTAAAATCATTTTCCTATAAATAGACACAAGCTCACTGGAAATCTAAGCACCATTTATAAAATCTTTTCTCTGAAAATATTTGTTCTAAGTTCTAAACAATTGGCTTTTAAAATTATTTGTCTTAATCTTTTCTTTCCTGATTAATAAATGTCTGTGGACACAAAACCACATGAGTAAACCACTATTTATCATCTTTACATCAGTTTTAGTTGCCCAGATATTTTATAGTGTTGTACGTGCTTTTTAAATGGCTCAATGAAAGCACTAAACCCATCTAGTAAAACATGCAAAATACCTTGATTTTAGAGAAGCAGTAGTCTAGTCATATAATAAACTATCAGGCTTTGCATCTAGATTTTTTTGAAAACTAGTATGACTGACAGTAAGCATTTACTTGAACCTATCTGTGCTATAATTAATTTCTCTTTAAAGTGGAGATACAGTATTCATCAGAGAATATTGACTAATGCAGTCATACCATTTAGAATGGGATAGTTTTTTCACTAAGAGGGAGCCAGTCAAATAGGAAAGTCTTGAAAATACTTTGCCTTCATGTTTCTAATATGGAATCTAAAGTTCTTCTTAAGTAATATAGAGTCTCTTTAAAGAATGATTGGAGAGAAGAATTAGAATCATCTAAACTTATCTTCAGTCACATTCCTTCTATCTCCTTTTCCTGTATCATCATCAGCATAGTTAGGATTATATACAGAATACTTTTATGCTTTTAAAAATAATTGTTGATTGAGTCATGAAATAAATAAAGGACTTATTGTACAAAAGCTTTTAATTTTTCATTTATTTTATCAGGGGCACACAAAGAAAATGAATTTTTTCAAAGTTGGAAAATATTTTACATTGGTGGACATGCCAGGTTATGGCTATAGAGCACCTGAAGATTTTGTCAAGATGGTAGAAACCTATCTAAAAGAACGAAAGAAGTAAGAAATTTTTTTTTTAGTTAGTTACACTTAACCCCAAAGCATGTTTTCATTAATAGAGCTTCTACACATGGTGAACATTTCAGTTTATCAAATGACATTTTTAGAAAGTCCACTTTATTCTCATAATATTCTACAATACAATATTTAGGAACAAAGTATATACTGTTTACTTAGTTTTTTCCTATAAATTAGCTTAAACTTAAATTTAAGTGTTTTCCTAAATTGAGACTATAAATAGTACTTGAGCAGAGTTTATCTTTTCTTTTACCAAACTCTTAGCTGCTAATTTTGAAAATGAAAATGGTTGGTCGATCTGGTATTTGCCAGATTTAAATAAACCAGTAAATTCTAATCATCCTTAAAGTGCTTCTGACGTCACATCCTCTGTAAATATTACCTTTTTGTCCCCATAGGTGGTCAAGTAGCAGTTCTATGTTTCAAGCATTGTACAATATATAGGAAAATTAATGTTAAGCTTTTGAAGTGTGAAAAAGTAGTTAAAGTATCTTGCTTATTGTACTTTACATAGAAACTAAGATAAAATATTTACACAAGAAAATACAAAATACAATGTGTCTGGTTTCTGTTATGTTAGTTTTAAAGTAACATTTGAAAATTTAGACATTTTTATGATAAATTATAGTTAATTGGGTTCCTGTTTTTTCCTTCCAGTAGAGTTCAAGCTCTTAGAGGAAGGAACTCATTCATCTTTGTTTCCAGTTCTAGTCAGAATATTTTGTGTTCAATATATGCTATTGAAATAAATTCATATTTAATGAATTTTGTTATTGAACATAAACAGCATTGAGACCCATTGGACTGTAGGATGGACTTCCTGGTGAATTGAGAATTCCTTCTGCCTCAAGCAATTTTTTAAAATTTTGAATTGATAATTATTCAATAGAAATTTGTTAGTATAGTGAGTGTTGAGGGTGGAGAAATGAATGAATGTATTTTGTATTGCTGTTAATCTTTATTTCTGCATTCTTACAGTTTGATGAGAACATTTTTGTTAGTGGATAGTGTTGTTGGAATTCAAAAAATGGACAATATTGCCATAGAAATGTGTGAAGAATTTGCATTACCATATGTGGTAAGTATTTCTTTTGAATCATGGTTGCGGTTAGAAATAGTAGTTCTGTGTGTGTGTCTTTTTAATGAGTGAGTAGGTCTTGCCTGCTCAAGAGATAAAAGAGTACATTTTGAATAATCTTCTGAATTATCATCCATTAATATTAAAATAAGTTCTTTGGTGCTCTTTTCCTTCTTCTAGCTTTAAGTGTTCAATGTTATAGTCAAAGTAAGAGTTTTTCTAAATTGTTCATTTAGTATTCCTAAGTGCTTTTCTTTGTTGTTGTTGTTTTAATGGCAATATGAATATTTGCTAGAACTCGTTAGTAGCTCTGTAACAGCAGCTTCACAGATAGTACTTAACAGAATGTAAATAAAACTGCAACTGAAAAATTTGCTAAACTAATTTGGAATTTAGGAACATCACAAGAATATAGCAGGCTTTAGCACACATAAGTAGGAAGTTTATATTCATAAAGAAAACAAAATTTCTTATGAGAATATGTTACCAGTGTTCTTTCTGTTGTTTGCCCTGGAATAGAATAGATTCATAGGTTGGTGTCCATGTTTATTTTGCTTTGTGAGTTTTCCAGATAAAATGTCTTAAAGTTCCTCTCCAAGGAAAAGAACCCATTGATTAAAATTTGGCTTCAGAAAAATGTCAGAAAACCACTAAAATGTAACAGTGGAGTTTAATGCAAATCAAGCCATGTTACCAGTCAGAAACTTTTTTGTATTCTTAGGGTTATGGAATTCTTGGGATTTGCAAAAGCTCTGTGAAACATTAGAGATAACTTATGGTGTGAAGAGCCAGAGGATTGATATACATTGTCTACACTGCATAGTAAAAAATGCCCGGATATTGCCAAACTGGTTTGATTAAGTAATAGTACTCCTAATTTAGTATCATAGATATCATGTATTTTCCTTCATTTTAACTTTAAGGAAATATTACTTTC